TATCTGTAGCTACATAATAAGTAATAGTGTAATACATCAATGTCTTTCAGAACAAATATAATAAACATGAAAATATAAATGGGAATATTAGAGTAACTCATTAATGACAATCATCAAGTTTGCCTGGTGCATGTTAACTGTGTACTTTACAAAGGGATTGGAAAACATGGGTCAACATTTAAATATTTAAATTTAAAGCCATTAAGTAAATGGCTACTAATAAAAAACAAAAGAAGATGAGAGTGGCTGGAGGGAGCTTTTTATATCACCATTACAGAACATTCTCTCAGAATAAGTAATTTATAACTTGAAGCCTGAGTAAAGAGAATTGAGGAGCCATTCAAAGGCCTGGGAAAAGTGAGGGGACAGCCACGGATACTGCAAGGTACAAAGCCCAGAAATGAAAATGAGTTTGGCAAATTCAAGGCCAAAAGTGTCCATTTAGTAAGTAAAGCGGACCCATGAGACATGGAAGATGGAGTTAGGAAGAGCCAAACTGCTTAGGACTTTATAGGACTTGGTGAGGGTAGGGAATTTTATTCTAAAGCAACAAGCCATGAAAGGTTTTAAATAAGGAGATGATATGAACTGAGTAAGGTTTCTTTTTTTCTTTTTCCTTTAAATCATTGTGGCCACTGTGGAAATTACATTGTGGACCTTTTATAAAATTGTTAAATGAGAAATAATTTCAATCTCTCTGGTTTTTTTGTTTGTTTGTTTGTTTGTTTTAGATTTATTTATTTATGCATACAAGAACTGGGATACAGGTCACAGGTGAGGGGAGATGAGAGGATTGACCAGAGGCAGAGTGGGGAGCAGAACAGGCAGACTGACTGAAATAGACTGCTGAGGGGAGCAGCAGGCAGGTGAGGAGAGGTCTGCCATGCCATGTAGGTCATCTCCCTGGCCAGGAATCAAACTCATGCTGCAGTGGCAATGGATAGCTTCACAGTGCTGAGTTGTAACCCATTATGCCACCATAGAGGGCCCTCAAGAACTCTATTTTACATTGTACACTATACATGTATCTATTGTAGAACTGTGAACACTTAATATGATAATATAAATATACTTTTGAATTCAAAAAACAGATGTGGCTATTTTGGCTTACTATTTATTAAAAACAAAGTTTTTGAAAGAAATTAACTCCCTGGGTAGTATTCTAGGGCATTCCGTTGCTCAGTATACTGCATGAAAAGCAATAAATAAAAATGTGTTAGGCTTTTTTGTTTGTGTTCTGGGATTTTGTTGGTTGGCTTTGCAGAAATATACTTGCTGCAACAGGTGCAAAGCTGATTTTTCTAATTCCCATCTGTCAAACGTGTCACTATTAATATCAATTGAATGTAAGACTTGTGTTTATACAGAGTAAAAGCAGAAGTTGTAAACTCAGAAGTATTTCAGGGACTGGCAAGTAACTGTGCAAACTTAGTATAAGCCCAAAGGGTGAAGCTGCACCTATTGCCAAATTGGAGAGCATATTCTGTACCTAAATGCAAATTTATTTTGAGACCATTGGGCTTGTTGAACAAACATCTACAGATCAATTGACCCACAGTTTGTGCTTTGTGTTCCTTGTCCAAAGACATGTAACGCTTCTACAGGGTGAATAAGGGATGGTATGCGATTCCAGAGATACCAGCAATGTAATTTTTCTGCTTCTTAAAACGAGTCTTTTATTGTAATCAATGATTCACAACTGTTAGAAAGATGAAGCCCTTTTGATATATATTTACCTAGATTGGAAATATATATATATATACATATATATATACTATTCAAGGCAGTGGTTGAGTTTATTTTTATTATTTTTTTAAGATTTATTCATTTATATATACAAGAACTAGGGTACAGGCCAGAGGTGCAGGAGGTGTGAGAACAGTCAGATATACTGAAATACACTACTGAGGGGAGCAGCAGGCGGTTCAGGAGAAGTCTGCCATGCCATGTGAGTCACCTCCCTGGCCTGGAAGAGAACTTGTGCTGCAGTAGCTGTGGACTTCATAATGCATTGCTTTAATCCCTTGTGCCACCAGGGAGGTCCCCAGCAATGGTTGAATTTACCTTCATAGCCAGGTTCATGTCTGACTTGTCTATTTTAAATTGTTAATTATCTAACATGTGAACAAGGCTGATATTTGGGATATAAAATCCCAGGGAGGTTATGAATGTAATATATCCAAAATCCCACATGTAGTCCTATATACCATTTTTTATGTGGCTCATGTTTTGAATGTTTTTAAAGCCAGTCTTTGATTAAAGGATATTGAATGCTTTTTCTGTGAAATACCCAGGGGAAAAAATATGCAAGCTAATTCCTAAATAGGTTTAGGCTGCTTCATACTCAATCCAGACAAGGTGATGCTAATAAAACAACTAAATATCAATAGGTACATTAATGTGATCCACAAATTTTTGCAGACTTATTGAAGAATATTACTAATGTGATTTAAGATAGACTTATAATTAAAACAGCTAGTTAAATAGAAGAAATAATTTTGAGGGAAAATATTGATTTTATTACTTGGTGCCAAATGATTCTTTCCTTTTTAAAAAAGATTTATTTATTTATGCATACAAGAAATGGGTTACAGGCCAAAGCTGCAGGGGGGGGTGAGAAGATTCGCCAGACAAAGAGTAGAACAGACAGATCAGGTGAAATACAGTGCTAAGGGGAGCAGCTGGCAAGACAGGAGAGGTCCACCACGCCATGTGGGTCACCTCCCTGGCTGGGGATCAAACTCATGCTGCAGTAGCTGAGGAGAGCTTCATAGTGCTTTGCTGTATCCTGTTGCACCACCAGGGAGGGTCCTATCATTCTTTTTAAGAGAATAATCACTCAGGTAAGAATTTTTTCAAATGATCATATTTTGTTGTATATGGAATTTGCAGATTTCATACACGCTAAAGCATGCAAAAATTGATTATGGTTGCAAATATTTATTTTATTCTAACTCTTTGATAATTAGTTGGCATACCTTTGTGGACTAAATCAACTGCTGGTTATAAAGAGTTGTCACTAACCAGACAACCAAAACAGTGTCACTTCCTTTACTGGATACCACAGTGCTACCCAAAGCTACTTTTGAGATATCTTGTCCTTGAAGATTGTGGCAGAAAAAAATATCAAGAAGCAAGCTAACATGTCATGAGAAATATAACGTATGAGTATTTGTGAAATTGAATCTTTAAGCAATGGGAGTAAACTTGTTTCAATTGAAAATATTGTAAGATTGAAAATTGAAAATATAAAGATTGTAAGATTGAAAATATTGTTTGTAAGATCTTACTCAGTTAAGATCTAAAATATACCTATATAAATGTACTAGCATATACATATTGTTATATAATATTCATGTCTCTTTAACAGTATTATTAAACGTTAATGACTTTAAAATTAGTTATTGAATATTCAGCAGCATTCTGGGTAAGACTGATAAAAGGAAGCTCTAGCAGAAGACCGTCTAGAAATCAGCTAATATAAAGCAGTGAGCATCCAAGTTTTTTATAAAACTGAGATGTAACTGATAATTTATTCTGCCACAGTAGGTTGTTGCACATAATTACTCTTAGATCTCATCAGACCTGAGGCCTGACATACCATAGGAAATGAGGTTCTGTGTGCTTCCCCATCACAGCCCATAAAAGCAAGCTGTGATTATACTAAGGCTCTTTTCTGAGTGCTTGGAAATCTTAAGTGTAGTTGAAAAAAATCTTACATTCTCACTTGAAATATCCTACCTTCACCTGAGGTTTATACTGGCTTCTGTCATCAAATACTATAAAACCCCAAGTTTTGAAGTATTACCGGACAGTAGTGTAAGGGCTATTAGTAGGCACTAGTTAAAGTGGATCACTTCATATTTCTAAGAAACTTAGACTGCCCAAGAGGAATAGGCCCTAAAAAGGGATTTGGAAGAAATGGTTTTAGCCCACTTTCTTCATTAGAATGTGATTTGTGATTACTTGTAATCTTCCTTATTTGGGAAGGATACCAGTTGTAATCAATTATGTAGTAAACATTAACATTCTGACTAAGGTAGACACACCTTGCTTATATTTCATCACTATTTAGTGAAATAAGGCTCTGTATTCTCTACATTTAAGACTAGGGCAGTAGGCCCTCCCTGGTGGCACAGCGGGTTAGGACATAGGACTGCAAGCTAGCCATAGCACGCTTCAGTGCAAGTTCAATCCCCCACCAGGGAGTTAATCCTCCTGACGTGCCCACTGCTCCCCTCAGCAGTGTACTTCGTCAATCTGCCTGTTCTGCTCCCCGCTCTGTCTCTGATGAAGCCTCTCACCACTCCTGCAAATATGGCTTATCCCCCAGTTCTGTATGAATAAATAAATAAATCTTTAAAAAAAAAAAAAGACTAGGGCAGTAAACTAGAAGTGAAAAGAAACTATAAGGTCTACCAAAGGTAAAAGAGATTCTATTATCTAACTTAAAATTTTTCTTATGCAAATGGTTGTTATTGCTCATGTTCTGTGTGGGTTGCAAATCCTTCTGGGAGAAATTTACATGCTCTTAATGAGATTTTCCTCATAAAGTCTCAATAAATGTTTGTTCTCCTTGCCTATGATTTTTGCTATAGAGAATGAAGAAATAGAGGAAACAGTACATATTTATAAAGTTCCTGATCTATCAGAAGTAGGAGTGAAGAGGGTAAACAGTGCAATAAAATATAAATAAGTGTTCTCAGTAATGAAGCTGCCATTATGTTCTCAGGACAGAGAATTCTCTTTGGGAACATAAAAGAAAGCCGCATATCAGAATATCCACCAAGATGTTGCTTGTAACAACTACAGAGTAACACATCTTCATAGTAATTTCAGTTATAGGGCTAGATAATGAATCTAACGAAAGAATATTCACCTATTACTGCAATTTTATTTTCCCTTCTCATTCATAACAACAGAAAAAAGTGTTCAGGCACCATAAATCTCTCAAGAATAGGAAATTTTTGAATATTTATTAAAAGCAAACATACCAGATATTAAAGAAAGTCTTACATGTACATTCTTTTTATTCAGTCCATACTAAACAACTCAGATTTTTTACCACAAAGAACGTAACATTTAACAGGTTTCAGTTACAGCTTACCCATGAAAGCCTTGGGATAAATTAAGTGTAATTTCAAAGTAATAAAGTCAACTCCATGAATTAGTATTAACCAGAACTATCACATGTGTAAAAGACAGTTATCCCCTCCAAATACAGGGGGAAAATACAGAAAAACCTGGGAAAATTAAGTGTGAACAATAGAAATGGGCAGAACAGGTGGCAAGAAGCACAGGGACAGAAACTTTGTAGTGAATTTACCGACTTAAAGATATAGAAAACTTGCAAGGGGAAAATAATTTCCAAGTCTCAGCTGTTTTTTTTTTTTTTTCCTCTTCTGTAACAAGATACTGTTTTTCTTTTTCAGAGTAAGATCACCAGGTTAGTTGGGTGTTTACATCTGTTAATTACCACTAAGTCTCTGATTACACATTTTTATCTCTATTCAAGGTTTAAAAATAAATTGGGTAGCAGCTTTAAAGGGCAAGTGATAAGGCCTACCTTCCTTCCTATTGATTTTTAAGTGTGTCTCATGGATATGTTTATTAAACTAAGTGTCTTTATTACTTGCAGAGTGAGTAATAACCAACTGAGCAGAGAATTCAGGTTATAAGAGTATTATCTCTGCCTCCCTGGGCCTCAACTACTCTGATAAATGGATAAGTGATAAGTAGTGACAGATTTATGTTCTGAAATAAGAAAAAGCTTGTTAAATGTTGCTGGGACTAAGATTTTAACTCCTGATTCTGGCTGACCAGATGGATACCATCTGTATATAGATAGAAGAGAGTTACCAGCAAACAGAAAGAACTTTACTGAATGAATCCCTCCACTATTTATGAAAAGCCCAATGCTCTGTAAAGTTCATCCAGAACAACCAGTCCCTAGACACGGATTTTTGGGAAGAATGTGACAGAATTACTCTTACCATCTAGAGTTTAAGACCACTGAGAAATAGTCTCACCAGAGCAGACTTAAGAAAACTGTTTGAGCCTACAACTGTCCCAGCAAAATCATTAATCAAGTTGAGGCCAGAGTAGTACTTAGTCTCTGATAAATGAAACAACATCAAGCCAGATGCATTCCTTGATTTTTTAGGTAGCACAGTTTAGAAAAACGATTCTAATACCACAAGTTTAAAGTTATCCTTTTAGTAGTAATGTTTCAAAATTCACAAACACTAAAACAATACTTAGCCAAATACAGCATTCTACTGCCCCCAAAATAGGATTTATATTTTAAAAGGTTTACAAAAAATATATCTTATAACTTTGAGGTAAAACATCTTTCTTATACAACCAAAAACCGAAAAGGATCTTAGTATATTACCATGTGAGCAGGTCATAGTTCAGGTTTTTTTGTGCTGTTTTCACAATGTCATACTCAGTACTTTTAAAATGCAGTTAACATATTGCAGACCTAATATTGCTGCATATTTTTTGTAATCTTAGAGTAAAAACTAATCATGTTCATAGTTATTTTTGTATACAGTAAACTAAAGTGAACAGACCCACTCCCACCTCCCCTGACCTACCAATAAAAATAAAAAGGAAAAAAGAAAAACACAAGAAATGACATTAGGTTCTGGGAAGAGAAAACTCTAACCATTAAAGCATGGGGATGCAAAGTCAGTTTTTTGCACCCCTTCTCCGTATTATAGAAAAATTTTCTGCAACAACTTTAGAAAGAACTTTCAAAAATCCTTCAAGAAGCTCCAGTAGACTTCTGGATTTGCTCCTTTAAAATCAAGATACTCTGCCTTTGCTCTGGAGGTAACATGGCAATCTGATCTGCAGTCAGTTGAAGAACCTGCATGATCAAAGCTGCCTTTTCTTGATCCTGTGGAGTTACTTGGCTCTGCCCAGGACTAAAACTGCTAGTCTGACCTCCACCTTGCTTGCCTGCCCCTTGCATGCCCGCTCCCTGCATGCCTGCCCCCTGCATGCCAGCTCCAGGATTTCCCACTCCTGAAATGCTTGGGACCTGCCTGGGTCCTTGAGGACCACCTGCTCCCATATTCATAGGACCAGGACCCTGGATTGGGCCAGTCATTGGGCCTCTCGAACTGGGACCAGGGCCCCTGATCTCCATGGCTCTTGCATCCATGCCTCTTGCTTCCATTCCTCTGGTTTCCATCGCACAGGTCTCCATTCCTCTTCTCTCCATTACTCGTGTCTCTAAGACATCGGTTTCCATGACTCGAGTCTCCATTCCTCGAGCATCTCGACTAACTCTGCCATCCATAGGCAGACCCCTTTGATCAATCATGGGGCCTCTGGGCTCTCCAATTAGCAGTCTGGGATCTCCTAGTGGCCCTCCCCTCATCTCATGTGAGGAAGGACCACGGCCATCATGACCAGTGGCATGGTGCATGGGGGGACCCTGATGAGGTGGGCCCAAATAGCCTCTGGGCTCTACTTCTCCAGTGACTGAAAGCAAAGTCCCTCCACGTGGATCATTCGGAGCATCTCCTAATAGTCCTCGAGGAGGCAGGCCACCAGCAGTCATGGGTCCACGAGGTATGGGAGCTCTGGGATCTGCCATCTGTACCTGACCCCGCTCCAAAGGCACTGGACCAACCCCTGGCATTCCAACTTGGGGCTGCATTGCTCCACCAGGAGTTAAGGGACCAGGCCCTGGTCCAGGAACTGCAGCTGGCATTGGCCCAGGCGCTGGAATTCCACCCTGTATAGGGGTCTGCATCAAAGGAGGAATGTCTTTCACAGGTCTTCTAGCCAAATGCTGGGGCTGAGGTGGTGGAGGATTTTGCTGGTTTAGCAGAACATTGGGTCCTGGGCAGAGCCCAGGGCCAGGGCCAGGGCCAGAGACAGGCTGAGATTTGCCTGGGATCAGTGGCGTGACGTGTATCTTGCGATGCAGAATTTTCAGAGCAATCTCTGGATCCATGATTCTCATCACTACCTGTGCCTGCAACAGTGCATAAGCCAGCTGTGGGTTTTGCAGCAACATATTGCGGGCTTCCTGGTGACTGTTTTGGACACAAAGCTTCATCTGTTTCATCAGCTCAAACATCTGCTCCGGAGGAAGACTAGCGACTGCTCTGGTAATTGACTCAGGGGCATCTTCAGGATCTATGGGATCTCCATAGGGTGAGTCAATGATGGGCGCTGCAGGGCCTAAGCTCTTCAACTCCTCCTTGTTCTTTTCACTGGCAGCATTGTCCACCCGGAGCGCTCTCCCGCTGAATTCCCGGCCATTAAGGTTACGCATAGCACTAAGCGCGGTCTCCTGATCTTGATATTCACAGAAGCCATAACCCTTAGGTTTTCCCGTCTCTCTATCGTATACCAGCCGGAAACTGACAACAGAACCAACCTCCGAGAAGATGTCCTTTAACTGCTCCTCAGTTGCCTCATACGGAATGTTCCCCACGAACACCGAACGCAGTGATCGATCCATTGCAGGGTCTCTCACGGCCAAGCTCGACATGATTCCGGTCGTGCACACAGCGGTAGCGGGATTCTTCTGCGAGTCGTCCTCTTGCGACCCACACTTCCGCTGATCAACGGAAGCGGCCCTCAGAATCCGGGCAGAAACCTCATGATTGTGCTAGATTCGTTCCGTGTGTTCGAGGAGTAAGCTATTTCAGTTACACTAAATAAATTAATTAAACTACTTCCAAACCTGTCTCTTAGTGGTTCTGTTACGTGTTTATTACCGACACACATGGTTCCTTTCTTGTATCTTATACTGTAGCTTGTTCATGTCGAATCCGCCGCCGCGGCAGAAAGACTTGGTATTAATTGACCATAATAAAGATGGCGGCGTGGACTTCACCATGGTAACCGGGAGGGGCCGCCTCCTTTGACGTCAAAGGCGGTTTTGCTTCCGTCGGCGGGGCGGGAAACCGCCAACCGAAAGCTGGTTGAGACAAAGTGTTCTTTTCTACTGATGCGAGTGGGCTTACAGCCATTTCCCTTTATTTTAGTATATTTAAATTATATTTAATATTACATACTAGGCTATGAAGTGGATTCAGAACAGGTTTAGGATTTAATTGTTGAAATACAAAATAGCTACTTTTTGGAAATATATAAAATTGGAAAATAACTGCCCGGGAGCGCTTGTGGTTGCTCCTGCCCCTCCCCCTTCTACAGATTGAGATAAACTGCTCTCTTCACGTGCAGACAGCAACCAAGATAATCATTGTTTTTCCCCTTAATTATATTAACTGATATTAATATTGAGTAATAATTAGTATTTTATGACTGGAGAGCATGAATTACATTTATTTTTTTTTAAAAAAAGATTTATTTATGCATCCAGAACTGGGGTACAGGCCAGAGGTGCAGGGGTGATGAGAGGATTCACCAGAGAAGAGTGGGGAGAAGAACAGGCCGACTGACGGAGTACACTGCTGAGGGGAGCAGCAGGCCGGTCAGGAGAGGTCTGCCACTCCATGTGGGTCACCTCCAGGCGGAGATCCAACTCATACTGAAGTGGCTTTAGCTTCTTACTGCTGTGATTTAACCGGCTGAGCCACTAGGGAGGGCCCACATTTATTTAATCTTAAAGTGTAGGCATTTCATCTTTTTTAAAAGATTTATTTATGCATAGAAGAACTGGGGTTCAGGCCATGAGGTGGTAGGCGGTAGCGGTAGTGGGTGAAAGAATCCACCAGAGACAGTGGTGAGCAGAACAGGCAGATCTATTGTGATAACACTGATGAGGAGAGTAGCCGGTGAGATAGGAGAGGCCTTGTAGGTCACCTGGCCAACAGGAACTCCTGCTGCAGTGGCTGCGGATTGCTTCATATTGGTGCTCTTTAACCCCTTGAGCCTCAGAGGTCCATTTCAGTGGTTCTTGAACATTATTTTACCCCTTTTACTATGAAGAGCAAATTTAGTTATTCCTATTCTACTGCAAATTTTCTTGGTAGGTTGAAACCTAGAGCTCTGAATTCCCTCTCCCCCTCCCCCCAACAGACAATAAAACTGAAGTGTGGAGAGGGTAAGGTAATTTGCTAACCAGTGTAAGTAGCAAAATCAGTATGCTTACTCACTTTGGTCTGACACATCTCCAGAGTCCCCACAATCCATTTATAGCTAGTGAGTTCTTGAAATGTGATTAGTGGTGGAGAAGTTAAGTTTACAATTTTTTTAAATCATTTAAAATATAAAATCCGATATTCAGGTAGGCTACAGGAAAACCTGTCAACATGTTTGGAAATTTTAAATATGGAAAAAGCTTTTGCAGTGATAAATTTCATTAAATCTAAGTAAAATTCTGGCATTTACAGTTAAAATTCAGTATTTAATCAAAGTGCTGTGTATGTAAAAATACTTGCCATATTTTGAAGCTTAAGTAGAAAAATTCAAAATATTTCAATATTTGTATGTTAAAAATGATCATTTTATTGATGGCAAAACATGCCTCTCTTTAGGAATTATGAAACTTTAACTTTCATCAAACAGTTGTGTTATGTATCTTGGGATATTGTGTAGTCCAGTGACTAGATCTGAACTGAGTATGGAGGCGTACCTGCAAAAAATTTAAACAAGCATTTATCTACAAGTATTTTGCCTACAAGTGTTCTTTACAACAGTTTTAAAATAGCTATTCACTCAAGACACATGATAATGTGTATCTGTGAGTAATAAAGTTATTTATATGTTCTAATCAAATCTTATCACTATATCAATAAAATAATTAGCTGCCATTAATGGTTTTTCTGCTAGATTTCTTTATTGGAAGAAGGGAAAGAACTGAAAATGGTAGGGTTTTAGAAAACTAAAAATAAATTTTCGTATAATCATGTCTTAAAAAGAGAAGTCATGGTATTTTGCACTTTTTGTCAAGGACAACTTTGATATCAGTTATTTGTATAATTGTGTGTGTGTTTAATGTAATCATGAAGATCATAATAGGCTAAATTATGAATAAATTATGAAGTTCACAAAAGGATATACAGCTTACCTGACAGCAAGTATTTCTTTACTGTTACTATTGATAGTGTCTAAACCAATGGTCTTCAGATTTTAGGATGCATCAGAACCACGTGGAACCAACACTTGCTAAATCATGTTGCTGGACCTTAACACTATTCCCCCTCTTTGTACTGATTTATTATTTCTGGGCTGGCACTGGAGAAGCTGCATTTCTATCAAGTTATTAAGTGATACTAATGCTGCTTAAAGATCTTTGATCTAAATAAAGTGCTTTTCCCCACCTTCATTTTTTTTTTTTAAAGGCTTACCTATCTATGCATACAGAATTGGGATGCAAGCCAGCGCTGCAGGGGCAATAAGAGAGTGGGGAGCACAACAGGCAGATTGAGGAAGTACACTGCTGTGGGGAGCAGTGGGTGGGGCAGAAGTCTGCCAGGATCTCTGGCTGGGGGCAGAATTCACACTGAGGTGGCTGCACTCACTTGCAGTGCTGTACTTTAACCCCCTTGGCCCACAGGGAGGGGGGGGGCGGAGATGGGCAGGCAGAGATGGGGGGGGGCAGTCTGACTTTCTAACTGATCATCTTGAGGATCTATAAACTTCAGCCACCCAGGCTCCCATTGCATAAAACAATTTTTAAATTCTTACCCTGGAATACTTGCAGGATTCCATTTATAAGTCATACCAGAAAATTAGGGTCTCAACCTACTTGTTTTCAATAAAAAATAGGCATGCAAATAAGAAGACTTGGCAAAAAATATGATACAGCTATTTTCAAATATCAAAACTTACATCAGAATATAAGTATTCTGTAGACTTTGAGAGTATTAAAAATGATTCACTGTACATTAAGAAGACATATTTCAAAGAAAGATACTAAAAATGCTAATGCTTATAATAGACATTTTTAAAATAACTGAGTGCATCAAGGAATAGATCAAATAAACACACTCCTCTTAGTAAAATAAGCATCACATAGAAATATCTTAGGAATGTACATTTGGGGCCCTACTCCTAACTTGTTGCAGCATCCAAAACTGTGTGTGTGCATATGTGCATGTAGAGAAATCCGTGCCTTAAACAACTTCCCAGGTGATTCCGAGGGTCAAGTTTCAGAACCACCATATTAAGGGAAAATAATCATAGATAGAAGATGATGATAGATGATAGTAGGTAGGTTGGTAGGTAGGTAGGTAGGTACTTTGTCTTCTCTAAAAACACATTCTAAGCATCTAGCATAGTAATGATTAGCACAAACAGAGCTTATAATATGTTGAATGAATGAGGGACAGTGAGTCAGTCAGTCCACAAAATTTATTTACACAGAAACAAAACTTTGTCATCATATGTGGAAAATCAGAATGGGACCTACTGCCATTACCTTTGTCATTTTATATGTAGGTCAGTGATAGTTCTTCTGTGTTTCATTTTGATAAAAATGATATATAGAGAGATGGAATAGTGTGATGAGGTCTAGATCATACAGAAAGACTTGTTGATGGAACTGGGATTTATGATGTCTTATATTTTGATATGTATAAACATAAGATGTGGAGAATAAGTCAAGAATTTAAATAGCCAAAACATGAAATTAGGAGCTAGAGTTTTTGTTTTACTTTTTAAAAATTCATTTATTTATGCATATAAGAACTGGGGTACAGGTCACCGGTGGGGGTGAGGGGGAGAGGAGAGTAGAAAACTCACCAGAAACAGAGTGGGGAACACAACAGACAGATTGATTGAAATACACTGCTGAGGGGAACAGCAGGCGAGACAGGAGAGGTCACCTCCCTGGCCCAAGATCAAACTTATACTGCAATGGTTGCTGGTGGCTTCATCATGCTACACTTAAACCACCAGGGAGGGCTGGGAGCTGGTATTTTTGAAACCCTCAATAAAACCAGCAGAATTGATGAGTTGCATTACAGTAGACTATCTTCTGAGGTGAATTACAAAAGAACATTTTTCCCATATCTGATCTTGATAATTACCATGTGAGATTCATGCAATGTTTTTCCTGATTTTAAAGATCTAGACACTGGGTCCTCCCTGGTGACACAATGGTTAGGACACAGCACTGCAAATGGGCCACAGCCACTTCAGTGCAAGTTTGGTTCCCAGCTCTGGAGGTGAGCCACATGGCACAACAGACGTCTCCTGTCTCACCTGCTGCTCCCCTCAGCAGTGTACTCCATAGATCTACATGTTCTGTTCCCCACTCTGTCTCTGGTGAATCCTCTCACCACCCCTGCACCTCTGGTCTGTACCCCAGGTCTGTATGCATAAATAAATCTTAAAAAATATATATAGACACTAGGTGAACAGTTACATAGAACTTTACCTAAAAATGGGCTCACTTAAACTACTGTCACTATTCAAAAAAGCTATGAAAACAATACTTAATCAGAAGGAGGGGCTTTATTAATTCTTTATAAAATGTAACATTTAATCCTCTCAACAACCCTCTGAGATAGACTGTGATAGTGTCTCAACTTAGGGGAAAGAAACAGAGACACTAATAAGTTAACTATTATGCCCTTGTTAAATGGATGAGCCAGAATTTGGACACACATTATTTGACACAAGAACTCAAGCTCTTTAATTATTATTCCATTAAATGAGCTTCTCAAGGATACAGGGCTAGCGACAGACCTATAACCCTTAAACCAGGTCTCTTGGTTTTAAAACTTTCTATTTCACCATTGGATAGTAATCATGGGTTACTGAGGCTTGGACACAGTCTCCCTTGGCCTGT